GAGCAATGGCGGCATCCGTAGCAGGATTGCCGAGCTTCTGGCTGGCCATCAAATCTTAATCATTTGGCTCCAGATCCAGACATGCAGTACCATCGCAAGTGTCTGTACGGTACTCCCACACGGGGAGGGTCCGGAGGGGTGTCATGCATTTGACAGGTCGACGACCCTGCAGCTGGTCACCTCCACCACCCCCTCGTCTCTGCAACCAGGCTTTGCAGACGGGGCAGCTCCGCAAGATCTCCAGCCATCGTGACTCTGAACCAGAGAAACAGGACAGTTGGTTTTCCCAATTCGTTGTTTTACTCGGGAATTCGGGCTTTCTCTCACGACGCGTCGTTTTTCTGGTCGAAGAAGCAGTCGTGGCCACGGAGCGAGATGAAAGGGCTCGCCTGCCAGGGCGTTGCCAGGTTCAAGTTTGACAAGCAAGGGCTCTAAAACAACAAACGAAATACTGTTGCTGGAGTGGAAGCTGAAAAGTTCCGAGCCGCCGGTTTGGCGTGCTTCAGGCACATGTGAGCATTCGACGACCTATTTGATCCCAGAAGGACCAGGTTCTTCTTCACGGAGGCACACCTGGTAATTACGCTTGACTTGACGGCGTGACGGCGCAACATCGGAAACGTCATCCCACCAGTCTTGTGAAGGCACCGCAGAGTCAAACACGGCGATGCCGACAGCAGCATCAGTGACCAAGCTCCTCCGAAGACATCTGTGAGGACTAGCGGAAACGGCTCTCATCTGGGAAGCAAGCTTGCCCCAAAGGACTGGCAAAAAGCTTCAACCAAGCCTGGCATGGCCCACATGGCCTCGGCCTGTGTAGGTTCGATCAGGAAAATGGCTATCCAGCTGCTCCTCATCCCCTAGGACGAGAGCAAAAGCATCAGAGCCGCCAAGCAGTTTGCGACAAGAGGAGGCATCATGATGTTGCGACACGATTGAAGTGTAACGATCGAACATGTCATGGGATCTCCAGCTCCTGAGTCGGTCTGGATAGCAGACAGCTACTTCTCAGCAGCAGAGATGAAAGATTACATAACGACAGACTGACGAAGACGAATGCTGACCAAAGGGGCGTCATCACCCCATTTCCAATGACCCAGGTCGCGTCGCTCGCGTCGCCGAGCGGCGAGGTGTTACCTCGTTCCTCTTGCAGAAGCAGAGGCAGAAGCAGAACCAGGACTAGAAGCAGAAGCAGAGCTAGCAGGAGTTTCCAACGTCAAAGCGTTCGCAGACAAACCCACCGTCAAGTTTCATACCAGACTTCAAAATGGTCAAAGCACCGTGCAGCTCTGCGGCGTCTCTGCAGCCAAACCACCAAAGCCGCCCTCGCAAACCCCAAGTTCCTCATCTGATCTCCCTGGCCCTGGTCCTGGTCCTGGTCTGTTTTTCTCTCTCACTCTGTCTGTCCCTGGGCGGCGGCTGAGAGCTGGATGATCGCATCAATCGGATTTGGAGCGTATCATGGCAATTCCAAGCCCATCCTGACAGGTACCCGATGTGAGAGTCCCCTCGGCTACCCTGTTCGCAACTAGCGTCTGGAAGGGGTATCGTCAAGCACGCGCGCTGCGAGTACCTCCCACGGCGGTACCCAGCGATGTACATGCACCGCAACACAAAACAACACAACACAACACAACACAACACAACACAACACAACACACCACACCACACCACGGATAGACCCAGCAAACTCTGACAGGTGGTGGAGAGGCCTGCAGGAACGGCTAGGCGTTGAAGCCTTGTCTGCCTTATGGAGAACTCGAGCGAGAGAAAAGGGGAACTGGCCCCATCCCGCTTAACCCTCGGCGAGAGCCCTGCATGTCCGGAATACGAAACCCTTGCTGCGATATCACGGCACTGCACTGCACTGCACTGCGCGATGGACGGCGGCGGCGAGATTGGGCAGTCGGCGCACTGGCGTCGAATTGACATGCCACAGGAAGAGATTAACTCAGTCCAAGACGACCGAGTAGCATCATCTTCAACTTGGGAGCCATGCTACGGATACATGGCCGCACGTACTTTGCCTTTCACACACGCCCCCTCCCCTCCCTCGCCGTCAACTTTCCCCCCCAATAACATGTCACCCCGCCCACACCAAGCCAGCGACTTTGACGTTTTCACGCCCATCTCCCAATACGTCTTGCGCTCCAGCCCATCGGCCGGCCTAAATGTACCTATCCCTCCGAGTGCACACGGGAGACGTTGCGTGGCGGCGCGGCTCTTGCAATCTGTATGCGTCTGCGTGGGTAGACTGTCGGACGGCGTCTCTGTCCCTGTGGGGGGGGGGGCAGCCTCTAACGCCCTCAGGTCTGTCTGGTTCAAGCCGAAAACGGCCAACAAGAAAGAGGACGGCCAGGACAACGGCACCGGCAAGACGCCGAATAATCCAGAAAGAATGCTACAGGCACGCAGCAGATTCTCACCATCGCCCGCTTGTCTGCCGTTGCCAAGACCTCGCGCCGTGACAATATCTTTAGGTGGGGGATATACGAAAAGATTGTGGCAGTGACGGCTAGTCTCATCCACCCTGGGCCGGCGTTAAGGTGACGAAGACCACTTCACTGTGAAGTAACATAGTATATTAAAGTATACTTTTTAGAAACTCTGCTAGTATATAGGCTACTTTTATAACTACCCCCTTTCCCTCTTTACTTCTCTTTTCTTATTTTTAGTAATTAAAAAGGATTATAGCTATTATTATACTTATTTCGTTTATATAGTCCTTATATTATAAAATTTCCTCTAATTTATTAATATCCTCTTTACGTTTTTCGTTATTAAGTTCTTATAAAGTTCTTATTTATTAATATATTTACTAGAGCTATAAATAAATATATTTTATATTTAGTTTACTATTTTATAAATATAAAAAATATATAGTAATTTATAAGATATAAATAAAGTATTTATAGTAGTTTTTATAATTATTTTTAGTTATAATATTAAAGAAAGTATTATTAATAAATTATTTAAACTTATTTTTATTTTCTTTTATTATTTAGATAAAGTAATATTTTATTTTTATTTAGTTATTAATTATTTTTATAATTAGTATTTTAGTTAATATAAGTTTAGATATAATAAGTTAATTTTATTAAAAATAATTAATAAGTAGAAGAAAACTTATATTCTTCTTCTTATATAATCTTATATAGTAAGTTATTTATAAACTATTAAAGTTATTAATAATATTCTTATAAACTTAGATTAAAGCTTTCTAGTTATTATAAATAGTATTATAATATATAGTAGGTATCTATTAAAGTATAAATAGAATTTTCATAGTATAGCGTAAACCTCTATAAATTAGATGTGGCTGGGCTTAAAAGGTGGAAGGTAACGAAGACCACTTCTGGCTAGATGGTTCCGGCTCATCTCTGTATATTGCGGCAACCATGAAGCTGTACGCTCGTTGTCACATACCTCATTGGGCTTCTTCCCAAGCAACTTGAAGGTTCCTGTATGTACTGTACTATGCAGTACATATAGCGTACATGGATGTCGGTTGCGTCGGCTGCATCGGCTGTACTAGACGGGATCAACACCGCAAAAGAGTCCTTACTGCGTAAACTCGAGCATTGCATCACCGCCTCGGCCGTCGGACTGGCAGCTCAGCCCCTGCTGCGTTGGACAATCCAGGCCGGAATTTCCAATCGGCCGTCGTTGGAAATGTAGCATTTGGACTACACCGCTCCCGATCTACAGATGCCGATATCGAAACGGTTGCTACCGTTCCATTCCAGCGTTTGCGCTGCATCTCATCTCATGAACGACGGAGACAACATCCAAGACAACATTTGCTCCCCCGGACGGGGTCTCCCGGTCTGGCCGTGAGCCTCATGGCAAATGACGCGGCTATCACCTCCGTTCCGTCCTCTTTTGCCGCGACCTCGGTGGCATTGTCAGTGTGCGGAGACCACCTCGAAATGGGACAGCATCCGCTCACCTGCGACGTCCATCGAAGCTTACCACGTGCCATCGTCGGCAGTCATTGAACCTACGTGCGTGCTACCAAGGTGTGCCAAGATTGTGCCGTACTTGGTAGTCGTCTTCATCGTCAACACACACCCAGCCTATCAAGTGCCATCTCAGCAAACATGTACCTCGGCGTACACTGCCTTCCCTGCAGTGCCTGCGTTGTGTGTGGTCGCAACGAGGCTTTGGAAGCGTAGCAAGCTTCTGGCATCTCGGATTTGACAGCGGGAAGAGGAAGATTTCCCTCAAACTCCAGGCGGGCGGTAGGGTCAGACAGACTTTTGTCAATCTCGCCGTTTGTTGATCCCCCTCCCGCACCTCCTACAGCTTTCGCCTGCATAAGGCCCGAGGGCGTTTGGGGAAAGTCCAGGATCCCTAGGCCGATGCTGAAGAAGGTTCGTCGAAAAACTCAAAATATCCTCACAAGCACCAGTACCAGCACCAGCACCAAGGCCAGGCCAGGCCAGGCCTCACGCACATGAACTGGCGGTCTGCTACCCCCGGACACACACAAATGCTACCCGCGTGCTGAGCTCGTCGTCGGCAGATGGATGATGTAAGGTCAGGGTCCAAGGAGAAGGGGTCCCGCCGATGTTTCGACGCTGCTTTTCCGCTGTTCTGCCGACATATATCCACAGACAAGACGGCGCGTTATCAACGTGACTTCGCTTTCGTATCGTCCGTTGTTAACCGCTTTGACCAAGACATTGCCGCTCTCAATGTCCAGCACCGTCGTTGCATTTGTTTGCAGGTGAAGAAGAACCCTTGTGCGGCCGCACTGATATCCCCAACCAATTGCATGGCATCAACAATTCCTGTCACTGACGAAAATAACGACACATTGATGATAATAACATGATTTGATTTTGGCAGAGAATAGGTGCAAAATTAACGCCACATCGAACCCAAAATAACAGCCATTAAAACCATGACGGGTAAGTCCACATACAGGCTCGGTGAGCCTTTAAAAAGACGACGAATGCCGGTTGTCGTCGCAAACATCAAAAACACTCCCAGGTTCATCACAGAGCAAAAAGCGCAGCGAAGAGACCACCAAGCAGCGCTCCAGGTCCCATGATGGGCGCCGCGTTGGCCGTGCCCGTGGCAGAGGGACTCGACGCGGTCTGGCTCGCACCGGTGGCCGCCGCGCTACCAGACGTGGTGGCATTGGCGCTCTTGCACACCACTTGATCGGGGACAGTGACGCCGGCACCGGTGCAAATGTCCTTTGCGTACTTGACGGCAGTGTCCTGGTCAGCCTTGGGACAGGCGTCGGCGAGACAGCAGGCGATGCCGTCGAGGAAGCCCGAGTTGGAGCAGATGCACTTGATGTCGAGGTTGCTGCAGCCGGCAATGGCAGTGCCTGATGTGTACTTGTTCACACATGTTTGCTGTAACCAAGGTCAGCCCACGAAGACGCCAACTGCTTCCTCCCGCCGACGGCAGATGCGACGTCAGGGGCAGGGGGGTTGAGAGCGAGAGCAAGAGGGGTACGGAGGACGGGAATGAGAACGTACTGCGCAGGTAGGAAGCTGCTGGACTTGGGCGCCGGCAAGCCCGGCAAGGGCGACTGCGACAATGGCGAACTTCATGTTTGGCAGGTTGCGGTATGCGGTATATGGTGCGAAGCGCTCGGTTGTGTGTTTGTCTCTCACTCTGATGTCCACTCTGAGGTGTTGGCAAAGCCGCGTGAAAATACGTCTGAGCGTGGGAAATGCAGCCGGCAGAAGAGAATTGCGACCTTGAGGGGCAGATTGAAAAAGGGAAAAGCGACACAGCTGCACAAAGGACGAGAAGAGGGGGAAGATCGAGGCACCTGATGGTTTGCTAAACTCGTGGTGCTTACCCCGATTCAGTCATGACTTACTTCAACCGCGCGCCACCAATCCTTATTTTCCCCTTCACCTTTCCATCCGCCTACTCAATATCGACAGGGCCCCTAGGCAATGGGACACTCTTTTTTTCTCATGATGAAATCACACCAATTACAAGGTCGTATTGCCGGCATCATAGGCGCGCCTAATTGGTCGGAGGGCTGCCCCTTTCGGCTCAATAGGCTTTTAGACTTTTTGACTCTGGAGCTTGTTGGGGAACTCATTTGGGGTAGGGGAAATGATTAGCATGCGTGCTAACGGCCGGCTGGCAGGGTCGCCCAGGTCCCCCGGGAAACGTTCCCAGCCCACGGAAGACCCGGAGCTCGCTGTGCGGTGCGGTGCGGTGCGGTGCGATGCGGCGCCCTCGCGTTCCTCGACAACGTCGTGCTCAGTAGAGTGGGGAGGGGGAACAGACTGGAGGAGGAGATGGTGGAGGAGGAGGAGGAGGAGCAGGCACTGGGACGACACGGTCCCGGGGAATGTTCCATCTTTCCAGTTCAAAAGGCAGGCCGCCCGGGGGCCCGGGCAAGCCGGAACCTCCGTGTTTACTTTTGCTTTGTTTCTTCCTCCCGCCCCATCCCCTCCGACATTCCCTTCCCTTGCCCTTCCGTGTCGTTGTTTGGGTTACCGCAGAGTCTGATCGCGAGAAGGCACTGAAACGTCGTCCAAATTTCTCACAGGCCACGGCCGCGTGGCGCTCGCTTGTCTGGATTATTGGTCCGGATGGCCAGGTCACGTCCTGTCCGGATGATTCAAAGAAGGGGGGAAACTCTTCTTTTCTTTTTCCTCTTCTTCTCTTTGCGTCCACTCCGGATGATGTTCAGCGGATTTTCTGCTCCGTCCAAGTAGATGAGGCGGAATAAGGCTGGGATCAAGGCTGATGGAGCCCAGATGAAATCATTCAATCCCGTCACCCAAGACGGGACGTATGTACGTATAAACGACATCGTCATCGCGCGGGGGTCCAAACACCTCCTTAGCTCCCTCGCTCAGCCCTCCCACCCTTTTCTTTTTCTTCCCTCCCTCCCCCAGTTCCAGGGATTTGGGATCGCAGGAGAGACACAGAGAGAGAGAGGAGGAGGAGAGAGACATGGGCGGGCACCATCGACCACGTCCATTGGGCACCAAGACATACACACACTCACACACTTCACACACCCATATGCACCGAAGACGCAGCAGCTCGTGCGTCCGCTTCACTTTGATTTGCTCAGGGAGGCTTGGACTTTTACCCATCACTAGACCGCCTGCAGACTACGGGCCTGTCGCTCGTTGCTCGGGCCGCTTCCTCCTCCTTCATGCTTTGGGGGCCAACCACAAAGCACACGTCGAGACATTGGGAAGCTAGGGAAGGGACGGCCGCGGTCCCCGTCAGAGACATACCTAGCGCACATGCAGGCATATCGTCTGATCTCACCCCTTACCCACATCATCGCTCCGTTTCCCTGCAGGCAGGTTGCTCGCGTAACACAAGACAGAATTATTGATGCTGCGGCTGACATTTTCTTTTCTTCTCGCATGATGTACATGTTCTGCAGCCTCACGTCGTGCTACCCGAGGCCTTTTTTCTTTTGGATGTACGATCCATCCCCTTACACAGAGAGACTGACGCACGACATGATTCTCTCCGATCCCGTGTTCACGTTGCGCAGCAGAAAGTTCCCGATCCGCCCAGCGGGTCTCTACACACGCCGAGCCGGGCCAAGAGCCGACCGAGAAAGCTTGATAGGCGGCGGGGACGGCCGCAAGAGAAACGGAACAAGGACGGGGAACTGCCTTGTTTCCCCCAGCTATAGAAATGAGTGGGATGGCGGAGATGCTCCTCATCCCCCTTGAAGGCGGGAAGCTTCCTTCCTCTGGTTTGCCTCAGGATCCGCCAGTCTTTGAAAGATTCGCCGAGTCTCACGGAAGATCTGAATTGAAGATGGCAATCACCGTCACATCTGGGTTACTGATCGATTGTTACCCACATTTGACTTACATCGGTCACACAGGAATCGATAGAAGTGTCGGCATACCTGCTCCTTCAGGGATAGATGCAAGGCCCTGCATGCTTCTCTGGAATCTCCGCAAGCAACTATGGATCGGCTATCGAACCCGACGCAGGCCTCAGGAGGTTGCAGATGGGGGGGGCCGGGCAAGCCACATGACAGGCCGGGACGATGCGGCGTCCGTCCCTTGGGCACGCAGGACGCAGCCGCATGAAGGCTCAGTCCGGGGCTGGTCGAGTTGACGCCCCTCCCCTCCCCGCCGGGCAGTCGTTCTCGGCTGCTCGGCGATGAGATGCTTGGCCTTGGTCCCGTCGTCTCCTTTGGGCCGGCCAAGACAATCATCCGTGTCACGTTTGACAGATGCGGGCTCATGTCTCTCTCTGCCTTCTTCGTGTTCCCTCTCCCCACCTTTACGGGAGAGGAGAGCACACACAGCAAAACACACACGAAAGGAGAGAGAGAAGTATGTGCGAACCTAAGCGCCGGACCGCCGCCCGTCCTGTTGCCGCGCATATACTTTCAATAGTGGCGCCCGGCTCTCCTCCGCCTTATGCATATTCCTCGCACCGGCGGACCTAGCGCTAATTGCGCCTGCGTTGTTGGAACCGCGTTCGTCCCCGTTCTCGACCTCGTATATCATGGCATTAGAGGTGCACCGCCGGAACAAGAGCCGTTGGGGCCGATTGTTGCCGACGACAAGAAGCACCTCCTAACTACCCGTTGAGTCAAGCGTCGAGCTATCAGTTGGCATGTTTGGCATATGCCAGCTGAATACAGATACAGAAACTGGCTTACATACACCCACCCCTCGAGCTCTCTCACTTGCGTCCACATCAAAGCCACAAACGCCAGCCACAGCGCGTAGCTTCATGTCTTGAACGTGACGACCAAAGACGGCGTGGGCGAGCGGCAAGGACCCTGGAAAACGTCGTGGTTCGCCATTGGCGCAGGCCTCAAGAACAATGAAGCCACACGTCACAGGAGTGAAAGAGGAAAATAAGGGAATGCACGGCCTCGTCCATTGACGTCTTGTCTTTGACTTTCCGTGTCTTGTCTTTGACGTGGAAGGAATGTGTCGCGGTCGTTGGAAGGGGCGAGCGGGGGGCGGGAAAAGAAGAGGCTGAATCCGAGCGACCACGACGACAGGTTTGTGCTGCAAGCCCAATACCGCTTTGGCATGTTCCTCTTCTTTACATCCCCCTTGGGCCCCAATCCGACTTTCCACACGCCCCCCTTTTCCTTTCCCCTTTCCCCTTTTGAGAGAGGGGTCTGATCTGTCTGACCTGCCTGCCTGCCTGCCTGCCTGCCTACCCGGCCGAGAGACCACGATACACGCCTTCGAGGTACACACCTAGCCAGGCCAAGCCGAGCTAAAGCAGCCGCACCCCACGGCCTGGGCACAGGCGACACTGCATCTGCAATGTTGCAGTCATCTCGATGCGTTGGGTTCGGTAGTTCCTTCCTTCTGTCGCCGTCCCACTCCACTAGTTCCCTTGTCCACCACCTAGTTGGTTCATTGTGCTGTTTCTCGAGTCTATGTGGAAGGCTGGTAAATGTGGCTTGCGCTTGATTTCCTTCTGACGTTGATTCTCTCGGCTTTCTTTTTCTACTGGTGCGAGGGCGGTTACGGGAGTTCTCTGTTGGTAGAGGTGGCGTTTGAGGGAGGCATTCGGTGTGCGTAGTAACACGCGGAATGACCGAGGAACAGTTCGGCCCGTGGCACTGGCAGATTCAACGCGGAAACCGAAGCCGGCGCGGGTGCATACCCGGTGTCGGCGGTCCAGGTAAGTAAGCATACCGGAGTTTGGTAAGGGTTGACGGAGCACGCCGCGATGTATGGTAACGGCCCATTCTTGCCATGTCAGGCAGTTCCTTTGAAATAGATGATGTTCATGTTGAAGTTGTGAGCCCAATATGAATCAAGGCGACCTCACGACAGCATCTGGCGAGAACAGCAGGCAAGGGGCAAATATGTGATCTAGTATATAAAAGTCGAGAGCGATCTTGGCGATGGATATAATCTGGCATCTTATTATACAAGAAAACTTGTGGAGATGCGTTACACACTCGCAAACTTGCGTCGACTCTTCGCATATCACGTCAAGTCTTGGAGCCCCCAGCTTGGTACGATCCGTCGGCCTCCATGGGGCCTCTGAACGATCAAGAACGCCTCGTTCAAGCTCGGAACTTGATATCCACAAGCATGAGGATGACCACGTCAGATCCGTGTCGGTGATTCACCCTCGTGTTGTTGTGCTTGTGGCGTGAGGGGAGTCTTTGATGATGACCCAACTCACCTGTTACGTGTAATATCGTTTCCCATCAAACTGCCGATATGATGTTTCCTGTTAATTCTTGTGAGAGGCAGACCGTATCCCAGAGGCACGGGAGGGCACAGGAGGTCGTGGCTTTCCTCGTGCTGGAAGAGAACGGTCCGGCATTATTAGGCAATTGGCAAGATTCAGACTTGGATATGTCCAGCTGAGGGACGCCCCCTTCCGGTCCCAGGCCGGCTAAGCATCACCGGGGGCGTCTGAAAGATCATGATTGAACGGCTTATGTGTGTGTGTGTGTGTGTGTGTGTGTGTGTGTGTCTGTCGCGTTCTCTGCGGCTTTCATCTTAAAAAAGTCGCTCTCTAGACGGAGCCAGTCATTGGCAGACAAAAAAGAGAAGAAGACAACGAAATAAAAAAAAAGAGGGAGCGCGGAGCATCTCATGCAAGGGTATCTCTCCAGTCTAAGCCCCCATCACAATCCAAGTGTTCTGTTCGTGAGTGCCACTTCTCTTCTCTTCTTTTCCCTCTCATCTTTGTTTTGTTGTCTGTTCAGTCATATCAACCATATCTGCGAGCCGCACGCAGCCGTAGACCCGTCGTTCTAACCTGATCGGTTCCTTCAACCTCTGTTGTAGATTGCAGAGTCATCTGCACCTCTTCAACATTGACCTCATCTTCCTCGTAGGCGGACAGCCGCAAGTTGACGGCCAAGAACTGGTTACAGAAAGGTCATCAGCCCTCTTGAGATGGCATCGCCGTCGGGTAAAACTCTGGGAGGAACCGCGTGTTTGTCGGGCTGAGGACCAGCTCTGGGTATAGGCCCTGGATGATGGACCAACACCACCTAGCATCGGCATCGATATCCACGAGACTCTTGAACCATTCAACACACAGAAATATGGTCTGCCTCGCCTGCGCGTTCCACGCGCCGGGTCTCTTGAACTCCTCTTTGTCCTTCTTACCAATACTGAGACACACCGCCTGCAGCCTCGGGTGCGTGATGGCGAGGCGTAAGATGATGAGAATCCCCATCAGGTTATGCGACCAGAAGTAAAGACCATGGATCAGGCGCTTGCTGTGGCTCATCGGCGGTATGATGATGGGCCAACAAACACACTGCCGAAGGTATTCCTCGGCCCCGACGAGGTCTTGAGAAGACAGCTTGTCAGAATGCACGACCCGATAGATATAAGGGCGGTACAGCAGACACCGCAAGTAACTGAGACGAGTGCGCAGCAAAGCTTGGAGTATGGTCTCGGGCGACGCTGGCTGTGTCGGAAGAACTCCCGTTGCGATCTGCTGCTGTGCCATGAACTGGTTGCTGGGAAAATACACGGAACCGATTGAAGACATGACCCCCTCTATGCGTTCCTCCCCAGGGGTAGGGTACGGCGCTGGGTACGGCGTGGGATACTGCCCTGGGAACGGTGTAGGTGTCATGGTTTGGTTAGTATTCCACTGCAGTCCTTCCATCAACTGCGATTGCCATTCGTTGAGACTACTTTGCATCTGGTCAACTGCAACGTGTAGCTCATGAGAAGCCTTCTCCTTGGCCGTCTGCGTGAACAGCCCCGGAGTGGAGGCCGGCCGCGTCGAAGCTGGGTGAAGCGAGATCGTTAGCGGGGTACATCCCAAACGGATCATCTTATGATGGGTGGCATGGGGAAGACTTCCTGCTGCACTTGCGATGGTGCAACTCAGAACTGGCATGTGACGACAAAGTCATCGCTGAGCGCAAGCGGGAGGAGAGTGGTCAGAGTCAGAGGCGCTGCTTGGAAGTACTCACCCGTTGACAATGTGCGATGTATGTCGAGCGCAAGCCTCCGCATGCTGATTTGCGAGTAAAAGTGCTCCTCGTAAACGCCGTAACCTGCATCGGGGACCAGACTATCTGAGAACATGTCTGGCCACATTTCGCATTCTGTCGTACTGAGCGATGTCACTGGCAGCTCGAGCTCCAGGTTGAGTCCCCTGTTCAGTAATCATTCGTCAGACAACTCAGACAGACGTGGAGGGATAGACACAGGGGATGACAGGACAGGCCGGGCGTTGATGACCCAGCCAAACACCACGAGGGGGTGGGAGGGGGGTGCGATTAAAGCAGACGATGCGGACGCGCATCGTCATCAGGCTGCGGGAATGCGCCGTGAAATGGAAGATGGGGTTGGCGATGACGATGGGGATTAGGGGTCCAGTTTGGGGCGTTGGGTTGGGGGTCCAACTTTTTTTTTTCTGGATCGTTGAATTGAAGATGAAGGGAAAAGGGCGATGGCACATACGTTTCTGTGATGGAGCAATGCCAAAAAAGCCGCCGCATCAGATCTGCCTGCGTCTGAGATCGGTCCTGGCCAGAGCTGCTGCAGGCTCTCATCAGCACATTGGCCAGTAAAAACAGCGCACCGGATGACCCGCGGCAATAATGGGGGTAAATAAATCTCACCCAGCAATCATCCTGTGGCAAGCCAAGGACGCGTGAACGGACATAGCCCGGAATTCCTGCCTCCATCTTAGCCAAATACCTACGGCAACCCCTCCTCTCGCCGTCTCTTACCATGTGTCGAGAACAGCATTCATAGTACAATCTGGTCGTGGGAACCACCAAGCTCGAGTCAGCCAAAAAGTTTCTTTTGCCAACAATCACGCCCAAAAAGCGCGGATGCGGCTCCCGATGCGGGCCCCTATGGGACGGGCCCCCGGTCCCGGATCCGGCGCCGACACTGATCCGGATCCCGCCCGGAGCCCGGGGCCACGCCCGGCGCATCCCACCCTTCGATTACGAGAACTCACCCTGCTAGAACGAAGACCTGTACGGCTTCGATGGTGGATTCTTCCATGAAGAATCCCATGCGGCGTCTCGCCTCGTTGAAATAGTGCAGGCCCGGCGGTTGGTTGTCCATTTCCAAACTGGCACCCCCAGTTGAAGCCATGTGAGCCAAGGCAATCGTCAGAAACACCAGAGCGCATTCTGCGCTTTCTTGCGGAACTTTACCGCTGACTGCAGATGACAGTGTTCTCTTCATGAAGTACTCCTGGTCTAAAACAGGGTGCATCAGGTGGAAAGTACTGAAGTATATCGTCGATCCTTGCTCCAGCCATTCTTTGTCGGCATAACTTAGGGTCGCGCCGCCCGCATTATTCGGTCTGAGAACATCATGCGAAAGTTTCCCATCGCGTCCTTGGCTTTCCATTAGGATCGACGTAAAGTTTGGCTCCAGGAGGGTCTCAAGTCCCTCTATCTTGGGCTCAGCAGCTCGAAGCATCTCCCACACTGCACCCCACCGCATCATTTGATGAACGGCAGACACGTACTGCAGCTGCGTCTGTAGGGGCATGGGCATCTGCAAACTCGCCGTCGCGGTTTGTGACTGGTAGCCGAAAGGGTCGAAAATCTGGTAAAGTCTAGAAATGTCTCCGCTGTTCTCATAAATGTGGTGGATTTTGGGTTCGATACGAGCTAAATAATCTCGAATTTCTTCCATAGTTCTGTCTTTCCTGTCGCACATCATCTTGTTAACAAAGGCTGACAAGGATCCCTCCAGACAACCCCCGGCGAGGCAGTTCGCAGGGATCGAGAGAGAGATGCTGGGAACAGATATGCAGTCGTTCATGCTATCGGAGTCAGAGAAGGGTTAGGTGGGAAAGGAACTCACTTCGTCACGGGCGGCGCCGCATAGTCACACTGGAACCCTCGCTGTTTGCAGAAGCTGCACTTGGGTTTCTCCGCGTCGCATGCCTGCTTTCTTCTACGGCAGACACCGCATGCCTGTCATCATGTCAGGTTTCTTATGGTTGACAAGAAAAGACCAAACAGTTGCTGGCCGGCAAAGGAACAGCTGTCGGACGGCGACAGATCGAGATTGCCAAACTCAACGACCATCGGCAGCCAAAGTTACGAGCAAAGCCACGTCGTCGACATAGCTGCAAAACTTTGTGCTGTTGAAGTCGATACAACGCTAAATCTGCAGCAAAAATAGCGAAAGGGGCTGCTGGACTTACCACCTTCATGACGGAGTTTCGGTCCCTTCTCAACTCGGCCGCGGCAGAGCTTCCTCGCGACATCTCGCTAGAAGGCCCTGCTGCTGCTTCGTCGTCCATGGTACACCTAATAGTGACGGGATCGGAGGGAGTTTGATTCGATTTGGGTGTTGGAGATTCATGAAGAACCTAGGACAAGTTGAGTCGAGGAGATGGCATGCCAAAAAGAACAACGCAAGGCAGTGCGAGGGTCGAAGGGGGCCAAAAACGAGACGTCAACAACAACAGCGTCGATTCAGGCAAGCCGTCGAGGTGCTTGCGAAGGAGTGATTAACCCTAGGGGCGACGAGATCGGGTCTGAGAGGGCGAGTGATGGCGAGTGATGGCGAGGGTGGCACTCGGCGGGCCACTTTCGCGGTCGCACAGAGGAGGACACGGGTGGCAGGTTGAAGCTGTGTCGTGAATGGCTCGAAAAGGTGGCGGATGTGGTCTAATTGAGTCTTGGGGTTGTCAAGTGGCAAGCCGTAGCAGGCACGTTGGGCAACATGGGGACGTGGAAGTGGAGGAGCAGGATGAAGAGGGCAGGGAGAGGGAGGGGAGGCGGAAGCGGAAGCGTTCTTCAACAGACGGAGTAGGTACGGCCAGAGACGGAGTTGAGGGGTCTCTGATGCCCGGAGTGCATTCCGTGCGTGCTTATGATAGTCTTTTTTTGTCCTTAGTCCCGTGTCTCTGTCTCTTTCTCTTTCTCTCTTCCTATTTTCGGGGGGCGAGGGTGAGGCGTATGATAGTAGGGCGCTGCGGGGTGGCCTGGCGAGCGCACCGGAGGCGGAGGTGGCTGCAGGCAATTGATGTTGCTGTTTGGCCACTACTGAATATCGCCGGTAGAAGCCAGGCGGAGTATGAGTTTTTTTTTTCCGACTGGAAAAAAGACTGGAAGGCTGGCAGCGACAACGCGGAACAAATTGGTTTCTGACTGATGGACTGGGGGTCCCGTTCTGGCCGGGGCACAAGGCCGTCTCCGATGGTCCGCGGTGCCGGTGGAAGCAAGTCTTGTTTCTCAAGCAACGCTAGGATGGCGAAGAGAAGAGCTCGAGAGTAAAAAAGACTGCAACCTGAGAAGAGACGAAATCGGCAGAGGCAACGACGACGATGGCGACGACGATGGCGCCGGAGCAAGTGGCACACACGCACACACACACACCTCACGCGCCGAGAGATAGTTCCGGAGCGAGACCCAGGAGAGGCGGCGGGAGGGTGGAATGACCCATTGAAGGCTCAACACAGGCAGGGCAGGATAATCGAGTGGGCGCACACAACTCCCATTGACCGAGCGATATGAATGGAAACAAGAGGACAAAGCAAGCCTATGAGTCGTATCCAATAACGGTGGGCGGAATGACACTTTTTTACCCTCAACAGCAAAGTCCAAAACTCACAACCCGCAACTAGTGACTGTGACAGGGAATAGGCGGGATGAGTGGACGCCGGGTGGTATTTACCGCTCAACATTGGGTTGTCCGCAGCCATCAGGTCTGGTCTTTTTTTTCCCCCCTCCCCCTCTTCCCCCCTTGGTTCAACGGGGGCATCTGACCGTACACGACACGACTGGAGTTGATTGTACATGCTCGAAACATGCAGTTCCTATCTTACCTTCGGTACATCTTGCTTGCGGAGTCCTGACTTGTACCAAATTGAGAAATAAAATAAAACGGACTCGTAGGCCACCGTCACAACAACCTGCCTGGCTGAGATGGATGGTGCAGGAAATACTTAGTACGTGGCGCACCAAGCGGTGGGATGCGATGCGATGCGCTGCGTTGCGATGCGACGACGAGTATCGCCGAGGTTGGAAAGGGGGGAAGGGGAGGGAAAAAAAAAAATCGAGTCCAACACCATGTCAAGCAGCCACAAAAGACTTACCTAGATTTGGGCTCGCAACGACTTGACGCTGCCAATGGCTGACATGGGGCTCTCCCGACAAAGCGATGAGTAGCGGCGTCGGGAAGGGCAACAAGTATGGATACATGTGAGTTCAATGTTGCCGGGCTGAAGCCACTCCACGCCTCGTTTGTCTCTCACCCCCCTCCTGTTTAGCTCCCGCTTCGACTCCTCCTCGTCCTTTGCAGCAGTAGGTACGGATACGCCAGCGTTGGTGCGTGGAAGCCTGCCTACCTGCCTGCGTTGGTTGATAATACCCTAGCCCGGGATGATGCGAGGGAATGAGTAGTGAGTGAACCAGATTGGAAGAAGTGAGGGCCCGAGGCGATCCAGTCCTTTGGCTTGTTCGCCTGTAAGGTCGGTCGGTCGGTGTTGTGTTCACGACGCAGGCCCGGTCGTCGGTCGCTAGTACAAAAGGACTTGGCCGGGAGTTTGCTTAATAACGAAAGAAAGTGGTGGTGCAACATCCCATCGACTTGTTTGGCAGAGCCCTGTATGAAAAACAGGATGACCCCTCCATAAGGAATGAGTCCCCTACGCGGGTCGATCTGCTGGAGGTCCTCGGTTATTTTCATTCTTGGGGGTGATGTGCTGTGCAGTCCAAGAGAACCAAGACAGCCTGCGATTCATTTCGGAGGGGATGTCTTGAGGACGCCGAGCCCTTCGTACGTTAAAACTTCACTCGGGCATGTTGACCCCTCCGGCCCCGGACGGGATAGAGAGATACAACGTCCATATCTACCGCAAAATCATCCATATGTGTGTATCCCTTGCGCTACAGGCCAGCGATACCTATGACACAGACTTCAGTAAGTGAAATGAGGCTGGGGGCGAGCAGATTGGGGGGAAACCTAATAGGTACCGGTAGATGGATGAGCGACGCGGAGCAAGAGCTCGGCCAGTGACATTGCCATGCGAGTGCCGGTGTCAGCTTAGATCCATAGGTAGGTAGGTAGCATATGTAGGGTAAGGTAGGTTAGGTAGGCAGGTAGGGAAGCTCGAGAGCGAGAGAGAGGTGGATGGCGGGCCGGGAGACCCCCTAATCTTTTTTTTTTTTTCTCCTCCCGCACAAGCACCGACCTAGCCAGCACTCGTGGAAGCCATTACTTGAGTCGATGGGGCGAATTGGATGAGTTGTGTGCCGGGTTTGCTGTTCTTTTTTTATGCGCGGCTTATGCTTGGGTCGGTCGGGGTTTGAGGACGGGGGAGATTTGCCGATGATCGTTGGTCGTCGGACGAGCCGGGCAGTGTGACTAGCTGAGCCAGCAAATCTTGAAAGAAAATCGCCTCTGGGATCTGTTCTGATATAAAAGTGAAGAGGGGAAAAGGGCACGCTACACCAGATACCTCTTTCCAGAGGCTGCTCGTCCGCCCCCAGGACATATTAATCCTGATCGTGGGAGAGCTGAATGCCTTCGAATTGGCACGAGGTCTGCTAGAAACGTCTGTTCATACGTCACCGGCCAGGGTCTTGCAGACAGACTTGCAGGGCTACGTCACACTGCTTGACCTTTTGCGGCAGGGAACGACGGATGGCTGATGATGGCCTGAGGCTTCTTGGGACAGTGTTGATGCGTGAAGCGCTGAGGTTCCACGACCTGGACCCTCGACCCAGCTGTCCAGCTGTCGCCCGCCCCCAAAGTCCCAGTGGTACTCTCGTAGGGAGCCAAGGAGCGTGGGAGCATACTGCGTACCGGTCGGTATTCATCGTGGCCCCAGAGTCAAGCCAGGTGAGGTGGTGCCACAGGTGGCCAGGCCCGGGCCTTGGAGTGACTCCGTCACGAATTGGAGTGCGGGAAAAACGTGCCTTGTCTGGGCTTTCCCTACCTACCTACTTACTATGGTACATCGTAGAGTACACAGCACCTACCTAACCTTGACCTGGTCTCTTGCCTCGGACGCGTGGGCAGATGAAGTTGAACATACGAATACCCGGCAGGCCGTCACGCCCCCAAACTTTAGTCTCCCTGTTTCGCCGTGAGCAAACCCTTTTTGGAAGGGAAGCTAGGATGTCGAAACCCCCCGTCCTCTTTGAGCGAAGGCCACGGCTGAAGCTGCCTCTCCAGACAAAAAGCCAACCTACAAGTAACCTACCAGCCTACGTACCTACTTAGAAGGGTAAGGAGGCATTGGCTACTCTGTACCACCTGACTTGCTTAAGTAACGAGTGTCAACTTGAGGAGAAGGTGAGTTTCAAGCGCCACGACCACTCTGATTTTGTCTCACTACCTTCCTTCTTTTTTTTCCCGGGCCTCCTCTTTTGTGGGGAGATGCTTCCAGTCGTTTCTGGTCCTCTGAGGCCCCGGCGTGGGGTCAGGCTGCCTGCCCCCCCATCTCTGCTGCGCTGCAACATCCATGACGGATTTCTCCGAAGGGTCAGTACTGCGTAGGGCCAAGGCAAGGCCTGTCACAACTTACAACTCATGGCTCGTCACAGAGTGCCGAAGCCTGAAGGCATTCCAATATACAAGCACCATCCTCGTACCTGGTGCGGAGAGATGGCTTCTGTACTATGTACGCCGCAAGTCGTTCGCCGTTGGGAACGGGCTAAAGAAACTTCCATCGGACAGATGTGGCACGGGCAAGGGGGCCATCTCATCTGAAATGCTAGGCCCGATCTAAGATTCGACCTGGCTCAACTTGGCTGGGTAGGGCTGGTCACTGCGGGCGAGCTAAAAGTTCACAGCCCTGACAGAGGGAGGGGAGGAGAATGCGCACACCACTTAAGGTACTTGGATGAAAATCAACGGCCAGCATAAGCACGACATTCGTCTGCCACTTACTTGGCACACTTATTTGGAGGATAATGTCGCGAACCCGCACCTGTCTGATAAGAAGAGCCTGGCCTGGCCTGGCCTGGCCTGTGGAAGCCATGTGCACGGTGTGTCGTCTCCCAACTGCACTATGCACCGTTTGGGAAGACCTTGAGAGATTACTCACCGGAGTGTCCACTCCTGCTCATCGTGTGCTTGCAATTAGAGGCCATTCGCGTGCCTACTGCGTAGAGCAATGGGTTCGTGCAGCAGTGCTGTGCAGATCCAGGCGGGACCACGACTCACGAGACCGACCCCGGAACAATGGGCGCCAACCGGCACCCGCCATTCTTGTCTTGCTCGGGTCGAATCGTCCTGAGTTTAAGGGTCCTGTTAGGTAAAACTTTAAGATGTGTGTATCCGGGATGC